GGGGGACCCGGGTTCGATTCCTTGGTAAGGTTGGGGATTTTTTCTGTGGGGGGCATAAATGAAATTCTTATCTGCACAGTCCGTGGCGACAGCACTAGCCATGCGGCCCTAAATCCTCAGTCTCAAAGACCCCCCCCCCCCCCCCCTAACAGCAAAAGTGTTATAATAAAGGAGGTAATTAGCAGTTTTTTTTTTCCAGCTGTTGAATATATAGCAGGGCTGTATTCAACTGGCGGTCTGTGGACCAAATCTGGCCCACAGAGGTCTAGCAGATGGTCCACGGATCACTGCCAGTTGTATTCTGTTGATGATCTTTTTATACTGGGGCCCTGGCCTCTCGGCCCATAATGACTCCCAATTAAAAAATGTGGCCCCTGAGTAAACACAGTTAAATAGCCCTAACACATAGTTTCTTGCTTGATCAGCGGTTCTCAACCTGAGGGTTGTGACCCTTTTGTGGGTCGAATGACCCTTTCATAGGGGTCGCCAAAGAGGGAAACACTTATTCACTGAAGTTAGGAAGTGGCTATCACAATAATTGTATGGTTGGGGGTTGCTACAACACGAGGAACTGTATTAAAGGGTAGCCGCATTAGGAAGGTTGAGAACCTCTGTACTAGATGGATTATGAAGAAAGTTACAATGATTGGAAACAAAAAAAGTTACTGCAACGGCAAGAAAGCTGCGATTGGAAACAAGTAAGTAAGTAAGCCTTTAGGCACATTGGGCATATGGGAAGAGCACCCATATTTTTACAGACCAATTGGCACTCGGTGGGTAATGTGGTCAGCATTACGCCGGCCATCTTTACTTCCCCAGGACAGCCATCCTGGTACCCATTTGAGGCTGGGTCGACCTGCGACACTCCATACCCTGATTAAAATCCACGATGCCCGCAGTGGGTTTCGATCGCGGTACGTAGGAGTACCTCAGCCACGGACGCCGCGCGACTGGACACAAGAAGTTGAGTGTTATGGAAGACATATTTCTTATGTACTTCTGAATTTTCGGTCAGAAGGTAAACAATTATGTTTGTTGAAGCTTGTAAATATTTGTTCATTTGATTTCACATGACAAATCAGTTTACAACAAAATGTTGCACTCAATAAATATTTTAATCTCCAACAATAGTTTGTTTGTCCTTAAGAAAGAAAGAAAATGGAGGCTTTTGAAATGCTGTAGAAAGATTTTCAGAATACCATGGACAAAAAAGAAGGGTGCTTTATTAATATCCTACTCCAAACAGGGGAAATCCACAGGTCATGGAACAGTTTTATATTTCAGGGGGTGATAGATAGGCTGCATGCAAACTTGGGACCTACGCTGCACTCTCTCGTGGGACGTAGGTGGGTTGGGGTTAGGGCCAGTTCTAGATGTTTAGGGGTTCGTTAAAAGCTTCAGAAAGCCGGGACACCCAGTCTTACCACCCTCTAAAATGTTGGACTGTTCTGTGACATCATTGGGGGTTGGATATTAATAAAGAACCAAAAGAAGAAAACTACTGACATCCTGAAAGATCTGAACATCAAGGGAAGATTGGCTAATAAACAGCATCTTGTCTCAGATTGCATTAAAAAAAAAAAAGCATCGTGCCAGAAAGCAGGGGGCTTAGTTAGTTAGTTAATTAGTTGGGTTATCATCATTGCACACCGGACATGTCCATAGGTGCTCAGATCCTCCCCTCAGTATGAACCCCAATGTCCGATGGCTAATAGTACCAGTTCTATGTTGATTAACAAGTCGTCTGGTGTGCGTCTCGTTTTTTGCTATGCCGATCTTAATTCCCAAGTCTGCCATTCTGGCCCCAAAGTCCTCTATCCTTCCCATTTCTCTGAGGGCATTAATAATATCAGCATGATCCACAGGCTGACAGTCGGTAGTGATAGCGGATCCAGCCAATCTATCAGCTCATTTATTTCCATCGCCGCCTGCGTATACCGGAACAAAAAATAAAGGTGACTCCACGCACAGTGGACGTCTGTAATGATTCAAACCATTGTCTTTGCACCGAACCTGAATGAACCCTCCAGATCATACTCATTGAATCACTGAGTATACATACACGGGTGTATTTTTGTTTCAAGCCAGGCAAATGCTTGCGTCACCTCCATCGTCATGCTGCTGGTTGTCATGGAGAAAGCGCCGTTGGTTTCTCTGACTGTTCTGCCTGCTGAGCGTGCTGTGAATGCCCATGCGCTTCTTTTTTGGCGTATAATAGATTCGTCTGTGTAGATTAGTGCATCTGCTTCGTCTGAATTTTCACTGATGAGAGCATTGACCTCTGCATTAACAGCAACAGGATTCTCTTCTCTACATCGCCTGTTGAGTGTCGCAATACAGGAAAATGTACAAATAAACGCATGAGGCACAGGTATCCACTCTGCACCAGGGGTGATGTCGGTTAGCAAGGGTGCTAACCAGCACGAAGATGGGCACAGTATATAAGTGACTGCTTGGGCAAGAAAGTACATGAGGTGGGAGAGCTGATGAGAGACAAAGCTTCTTAAACTCTTTGAGTCCCAGGGGGTTTAGCATCACAGGCCCAGGGGGTAGTAAAGAGAGTCATAAAATCGGAGCATTATGCGTACTTTGGGCTTCTAGGTAGGAACTTATGAACGTATGATGCGTTCCGTGGGACTCAAAGAGTTAAGGCAGACTGTGATGAGAACGACATCCTGCAAAGGACCTACTACATGGTGATGAACAGTTTGCTTTCCTTTTAATTGGTGTCATTCTAGAGAGTTGTTTGACATATCTAAAGTTCACGGGCGATGTGGCCAATGGTCATCAGGAGTAAACAATAAAAGACCCTTTTTACATCAGTGGGGAATCCAGCCAGACTGATAATTTTAGAGCTCAATTGGCCCTGTGTGAGCGATGTGGTCAACATCACCCAGACTGCCTTTACTTCCCAGGACATTACCTGGTACCGCTGGTACCATGGACCTGGGAGCCAATTTCAGTTTTGAAAATATTCTGTCTCGAACACAAACCTACTTCTGGGCATCAGACCCTGCGGGCACAGGTCCTTACCCCTTTCTCCCAACGTGTGTGTGTGTGTGGGGGGAGGGTTGGCCAATCAGCCCTTTTCAATTATGTATAGAGATTACCTTTAAAAGTATGTTTTTATATTTCAAGTATATGCAGCTCAGTATTAGTATGCACTTAAACTAGGAATAGGCCCTTTGAGGCCAGAAAATATGTAAGGTGGATGGGGTGTGCCCAAGGGATCCCTAAGTTTTCTCTGTGTTTCGAGCCCCTGACATCTATCTTAATACAGACCAGACAGACAGACAGACAGACCAGACACAGACAGACCAGGCACACAGACAGACCAGGCACACAGACCAGACACAGACACACACAGAGACAAAAGACACACACACACTAACACATGCCCTGTACCAGACAGTTTTATTACCATTAATCGTAAATTGTTGCAGCACTTAATGTATATCATGTACATTTATCTCAAGCACAAGTACCATTACCTTTCTATGAATGGAAACCAAATAATCAAGAACTGGAAAATAAACAAACAAATAAATAAATAAATAAACAAAACAAGATGTCACAAATGACACACATACACACACACAAAACTGTCATATACCGAAGTAATAGTGAGAGACTAACTTTGAAAATTGAAAAAAAAAATAAATAAATAAATAAATAAACAATAAAAAAGATTTAGTTCAAAGTTCGTCTCCCCAAACTAGGTCACGTTCCATTGATAACTTTTCTGGACTAGTCTGCTGTCCGGGAGGTTACTGGTGTGCCGCTATGTTGTTTGCTTTCTGGCTTGTCTTGCATTTACGTTTTTCTTCCGAGAAAAGAGAATGCCTGTGACATAGGTTGCAGCACTCTCTAGGCAATATCAACGGCATTGCTGAACACTAGCAGTGTGCGAATGTCAGGTGACTCAAGGTCGACCAATCAAAAGTTAGCTATAATGTATATGGGCAGGCTCTGGGGGGACTTTTGTAGAACTAACTGAAAAAAAAAAGAAATTAAAAAAAAAAAGACAATGAAATATTTCAGCCATATTAAAAGACACAATACTCTCAGGTAACTAGGTAATCACAGTTCCAAACGATACTCTCAGGTAACTAGGTAATCACAGTTCCAAAGGATACTCTCAGGTAACTAGGTAATCACAGTTCCAACTTCACAACAAACAGGTCACCCTGTAGTTGCTCCGCTTCTGTGCCAACAAAAACACACACAGAGAATGTCCATCACTGTCCCTTGTGGAAAATATTGACACACACAGACTGCAGCCTCAGCAAATCCAATAGCTTACATATACATTAGGCGACTGTCAGATGTACCAACGCCAGAGAAATGAAGTTCATCATCAATGGAAGCAGGCAGTTACAGCACATCAGTAATTGCACAAGGCACCACCAGTTCTCTGGCAACAGGCCACTCTTATATAAACCAAACTAGAGGAACAGGTTAAAGGCAAGAAAGCAAGCGGTATACAGAAATACAAAGGGGGGGGGGGGGAGGCGACAACACAAAGAGATGGATGAATAGTAGTCTGCAGAAAAGAAGAAAAGACAAGAGGCAGAGCGTGTTAAAGATCATTTACAGCCAACTACTAGGACCTGATTTACTGAATGAAACTTGTATAACAGTTGAATCATTCACACTGTTTCTGGCTGTGAACAAACCAGTTCTGGCAGCCAGCACTCATCATCATCCTGTGCCATACCAGTAAGCATAAGCTGTCATGTTTCACCATGTCACATGATCACCAGAAACATTGTCTACTTTTAATGTACATAATCAATTAAAAAAAAAAAAAACACTGACTAGAGGAGGACTGCTTGGTTTGTTTTTCTATCATTCCAACAATAATAATTTCTTAATATCTTCTCAACAACAAAAAAAACATTCTCCACCACAAGTACATGTTTATCAGCGTGCCTGCTTTATAACCCCATTTTCCAGGACAGCCATTCTCTAGAGCCACCGTACGACATGGCAAGCAGCTATCAGAGAACAGTGCACCAGGACATCCACCCTTTAGAACTGTCCTGCAACAAGGATGACTCAGATTGTCTTGACCACTGCCGGATTTCACTGTCATCTGAATCGACATCTGAAGATTCTGTCTCGGAGTCCACACACTGTTCAGCGAGGGCCGGTATGAACTTCAGTTTGAATATGTCTTCATCTGACGAGTCGTCGTGCGGGCTATGAGTGAGAAATAAAACAGATGTAACAACTAAATTACAGAATTTAATTCAACATCCAAACATATCACAGCAACTAGACTGGAAGCTGAAGTCACACACTTGCCTCCTGACCTAAAAGTCTTGCAGGAGTCTTCTTCACAATCACCGGCTGAAAATTCTGGCAGAAAGTTCTGGTGGTTCATCCACTTCTGGTCTTTGGTCTTGTTCGAGAACTTCAGTTCTGCACCTCACTTTTACAAATCTGGCTCATTTGTATGTAGACTATTGGTTCCTTGCCTCTCAGGCAGATGCTCTCCAACTTTGAAGGAAACCTCTAATTAGTTGACTCTTACAACACACTTTTCAGCGACGCAGTGGGTCAATCAATTTTTGCCCCACAAATGAGGCCGTGGACCAAACACGGGCACTGCAACGATTTAATACTTCATGTCCCCTTGTAGTTTCCAGTGGCACATCGGTGCAACAGCTGAACAAGGAAAATTCACGTCGAGGTGGCATTATTAAATACACAGTTGGGTCTGCAGAAAGAAGTAAAAACATTGGGTGGGGTTTTACTGCAAACGTGAATGGATACTGTTTGAAAACAGAGCCTTGTGTATAACGTCACAACATCCAGTATAAGAATGGAGGTAGAGGCTGAACCGGCAGCTTTCCAGTGACTTAAGAGCAGCACAGTCTGTGTTTAAGTGTAAGGGACTCACAGAACATGCTTCAGAAAATAGAAACTGCAGTTCTCCCCACAGAGGGCTTGCATCCCTTTATAAGATATCAGCAACATATCATGGATTTTCTGCCCAGGACATTTGGGCGTACAGGGTGATTAGCAAGCTGATAGATTAGTTGCTGTCAAGCCTCCGTTCTTCTTGTAACTCAAGTCTGAGTCTGAAGAAGCTCAGCACAGTGCACAGGCTCTGTAGCACCGGCAAGGATCCTGAAATACTTTGGGTAGATTTTAAACTCAAAATTTTGCCTGGGCAGCGCCGTTAGGCTACTATTTTTGACTTCCAACTGACAAGGGATTTTTTTAATGTGTGCAACAATGCACACAGGCATCCGATCTCACTACCCAGAGACCAGTGGGAATTACTAGAAGTCCAAGTCCATGTGAAAAAAATCCCAGCCCTTACTGGGGATTGAACCTGAAACCTCTAGCACTCGAGGCAGACACCATGCCTCAAGACCACGCAGCCGCCCCCCCAACTGGGGAATGAAAATAGGCAGACATTTATTCAGTTTGCAGCTGGTACTATAAACATAACGACTCATCATTGCCTACAGAAGAAGAAGACAAAAGCAACTAATTCAGGGTTTGCCAAAAAACATGTGAGTTGGGCAGAAAGACACAATAATATAGCCTAGCTGCAAACCACCACCAATGTAACGTACTAACGGCCATTTTGAGAAGAAGAAGCTATCTCACCTCTGGTTATCAGGGCGAGGAGGCAATACCTCCCACAGCAAGAGCTCCATGCCGCCACTGACAACAAACAACCGGTCAGCTGACAGATAGCCGTAGTCCAGGCAAACGATCCTTTCTGTGTCTATGTGCTCCAAGGTTGCCAGGTACTCCAGTGTTTTACTGCTGCGAACTATAAACAAATCAAAGTTCACTCATTCTTACATCTTTCAATCCCAAGTAACAAATAATAATGTGAATGGCTCTTTCCCTTAAGTATTTTTTTAATTAAAGACTTAAACAAAAACTGTAGCGTCTACAGAATGTGATGATCTTGTTTTGAGTGGTAGCTCATGGTCATAACAAGCCAGGAGGAAGGCATGTGCATGAGTGTGAGGTACAGAATACACAAGGCCGAAAAGACCAGGGAGGGAAAAATTAGACGTTAGCTCATGGTCAGTTGTGAACCAGAAGTCAAAGAAGGCAGTTGTAGTGCTAAATATTTGAAATATAGCGTAGAGGAGTTGTTAGATAACTTAACTGTGATTGCTAGAAAAGTATAACATTTGGAAAATTGTGCTGATGGTGAAATGAGGATGAACTACATTAAAGCTGACACAAGTTTTAAAAATTAGCATTAGCTTGTGTTATGCTATGAAGAGTTGTATCTGTTCCCACACAGTAGTTTAGTTCATGTTTAACAGTGCGGGCAGGTTAAGGAGAATGATGCCAAACCAGAGTGTGTGAACTCTAGACAACTCTGTGTGAACTCTAGACAACTCTGTGTGAACTCTAGACAACTCTGTGTGAACTCTAGACAACTCTGTGTGAACTCTAGGCAACTCTGTGTGAGCTCTAGATAACTCTGTGTGAACTCTAGACAACTCTGTGTGAACTCTAGACAACTCTGTGTGAACTCTAGACAACTCTGTGTGAACTCTAGACAACTCTGAGTGAACTCTAGACAACTCTGTGTGAACTCTAGACAACTCTGTGTGAACTCTAGACAACTCTGTGTGAACTCTAGACAACTCTGTGTGAACTCTAGACAACTCTGTGTGAACTCTAGACAACTCTGAGTGAACTCTAGACAACTCTGAGTGAACTCTGTAGCAGAAGACAAATAAATATAGAATCACATCAACGAGGATGGGAAAGAGCAACGTTGCAGCTACTTTGTTGTCTTTGGGAATATCATGAGGGGGCTCTAATCTCTTCCACTCTTGTACTACTGTCCCAAAACCAGGGGAAGGGATTTTTAAAACTGTCAACCATGACAATAGAATCCAAAATCGAATCCTAGTACTCGAGGATCCTAATATTTGTAAACAAATTCACTCACCCCTAAGCCATTTTGAAAGACTGCCTTTGCCCCTGTGGGTAATGACTGCCTTTGTTCCTGTGGGTTCCCCATTTAGGGTGGGGAGGGAGGAGATAGACTCTCTGCCACCCCATAAAGCTTGAGTTGTAAAAGGCGAATAATTAAGAATGTTTCCTTTGAATACATCTGCCTGAGAGGCGATGAACCATCCGTCAGTCTGCATACAAATAAGCCACATATGTAAAAATGGACATGCAAAACTCAAGTTCTGGAAGTAGACAGAAGTCAGGAAGAGGACGAACAACCAGAACTTGCTGCCACAGTTTACCGCCAGTGAACACTAAAAAGAAGAAGAAGAAGAAGAAGAAGATGAAAAGCCATCAAGAAGAAGAAGAAGAAGATGAAAGGTCATCTAAACTGCAAGAGATGGAAAGAACTTGTTCACAAACAGACTTACTGTTGATGTAACCCACTGCGTCGTCAAGGTCATAGCTGGAGGACAGTAGCAAGTCTCCGTGACAACACAGGGCATCAGTAAATGTGAAGCTGTCTGTGTGGTTGGCAAGTTTTCTCACCTGACCTGCAACAATAAAGTCATGAAGAAGTCTGGGGAAAACCTTGAGACCATCATGGTCATTGTAGGAAAACATTTAACCAGGACTTTTTTTTTTTAATTCTGACGGCAAGCTGAAATATTTTGTCCACTACAAGCGCCACGGCAGATTGGAACTAAATATATAATAGCAGAAGACGTGGTACCAGGAAGGTGGGACAGAGGCCAACCAACATGAAGATGGGCAGACGACATGAGTGATTCCTTGGAGATGAAAGTGCACGAGGTGGGAGAGCTGGTAAGAGACTAAGTTTCTTTCAGGCAAACCATGATGAGAGCAAAGTTCTGCAAAGTACCTGCTACACGATGATGGTACACAGTTAAAATTTGTTGCATATCCTTTACAGGACCTAGCAAAAACCAACCCCAGCATTTTGGGGCTGTTGTGGTTTTCTAGGCAAATTTTACGTTCAGTAGTTTGCAATTGCTTCTAAATGGCCAGCTCTCGGTACCACTGTCGAAAACAACGCAAGACAAACAGCCCACAGCTGGGATTGAACCCGGTACTATGAACCATTTTCGCAACGCCTAAGCCACACAAGCTGACACAGTACCGGCATCATTCTGAGGCATCAGTATTTAAGCGCTACTGTAGTGGACACTCGGTGGTGGGTACTAGCATCTGTCTTTCTAGAAAAAAAGGCTCTGCATTAAACAGAAAGCGGTAGGCATTCGCAGACAACATGAAGCAAAGAGGCGTACATGAGACGATAAGCTCATCATCATCATGTGCCCTGTTGATAAGCACAGCCTGTCATGGTTCGCCATCTTACATAATCAATTGTCCCTGTCTCGTCTCATTCATGCGGCCAAGCCATCTTGGTATTTTTGTGCCTTCTCGCTATTTTTCCCCACCCCAATATGGGATGCAATTTTTTCAATTTTTAATCACTGCACCAGCTGTAGTCAGGGGCCCTTATAAATACCTGATGCTTGAACTGGGTTTCTGGGACTTGTACCAAGGTGATCCTCATCCAATAGTGGCTGTTTGTGTCACCGGGTTTTAGCTGCTGGTATGGGTTGAACAACACACATGCTATTTATTCCATCCAGTCTGCCAGTCATCACCAAACTCTTGAGTCCATTCCTTCTTATAACATTGCCATAATACAATGTTTGCATCTAATTTCTAAATTCAAAAGGTTTTAATCTGGACAAGCTAAAAAAAAATGCAGGCAAATTTAAAACCTCCTTCCTAGCTGAAGAAATCAAAGTACTTTAACACAATGAAAGGTCCAGCACTGTTGCTTAATAATTTCTTCAGTGAGTTTGTGTTTCCTGGAAACAACCAGTATTCAACCAGTGTGTCTGTAGTTTTCTATTTCCCTATTGTCTGGTTGAATGTTGAAGTAAAAATCCACATCATAGCACCCAGGACACCCCCAAAAACTGTTCTGTCCCCATCCTCAGCAGCAAATGAAGAGTTTCAACTCCAATGGTACCAGTAACTGTCTGATTGTATATCTGTCTCACCCTTCCCTTTCTATTGTCAGGTGTGGTTTATGACAATATTTTTCCCCTTGGGGAATTCTGACAATGTTTTCATAATTTCCTGCAGGTGAAAATGCCTGGTAATGACTTCTCCTCATCCTCCTAATGGCTTGAGTTGAGTTGATTCAAGAACTGACATCACAGCATTTGGGGCATTCCCATAAGCACTACGTCCTCAACTTCAGCAACTAGTGAAGAGTTCTGATACTAATGGTGCCAGTAGCATTCTGATTAAACGTCCGTCATTGCCTTTCCTCTGAGCCTCGAGCATCTGCCAGAACCTCTCGTCACTTCCCCCGCCTTCTAATGACCTGAATAAAACAACTGTTACTTTCTCATTTTTGCATATTATTCTCTCTTTCATTTTCTCTCTCATATTTTTCTAGATTGCATATAATAATTGTTGCAAACTCAAACTTTCTCACAAAACATTCAACTGAAGTAAGACAAATGATGCTAAATATCGTTTTTTCTAGTTTATGAAGGACAGACAAAACAATTATTATTTGTAACATACCTATTCATAAACATCACATTACTTGTATAAATGAATTAATCACAAAGAATAATCAGCATTTGAAACTCTGCGCTGGCTGTTGAAGATGGGGGACACATCACTTATGGGAATATCCCACGTGCTAAATTGTATGTTCTTAACTCGACTTCAAATCATAAAGAAATGCAAATGACAAACAGGAACGCTCTGAAATGTGTACACATAAAATATTGTAACAGACCTTTTTTCCAGTCAAGAATTTTAATGTTCCTGGCATCATCACCAAACAAGAGCAGATCCGAGCAGACGTCAAGACTTCGGATACTTCTGGTGATTACGGGATCGCCCGCTGGGGTTTTAAGATTTTCGGACACAAAAATGCAGGTCAGCTGGTCCCTATCTGCCAGCTGATGGATTTTAATGATGCCGTCGGAGTCACAGCTGTATACAGTGTTGTCTGAAACCTGGCAATGTGTTTGTAGTCATAGTCAGTTGACAGGTGAAAACCGTAAATTCATTTAGTATCATTGGGACATGTTATGAGAAGGAATTAACCTGGTGAGGACTGGCAAGACACACACACACACAAACCAAGGAAAAGGTTAAAAAAAAATTTTTTTTTGGCCACATGGAGGAGAGAGACAAGAACAATGACTATTGCCTGCTTTTACCACTTATGCGGTGCAGACATTGGGAACATGAATCTGAGGATTTAGGGGCACGTGGCTGGTGCTGTTCACAATACAGCTGCAGTATTAATGCCTTTAATTTGATAAATGTGATGTCCTATAAAAAGATCAGTGGAAAAATGGGTAGAGGCAGACCAAGAGAGATGATGCAGGATGGGCTAAAACGATGGCATGGAGGGATATCATCAAGAGAGCTGTTCCAGGCAAACAGGGATCGTGGTCTGTGGAGACGCATGAGCGCCTACGCCAGTTGGCAGGGCACATGATGATGATGTCCTCCAAATATTTTGTAAATGATGTGACAGATCAAGAATAGAGTTCACAGAGGTAGACCAAGAGATGTTGATGGGTGGCGTGAGAACAGACTGACTGACAGACGTTCAACCCCACCAGGGCCGCACAATGAGCGATAAACACCCGGTGACACAAACTGCCGCAATTCAGATGAGAATCACCTGGGTGCAAGTCCCAGAAACCCTGTTCAACCTGTAGCTTGTATCTAGGGCCCCCGAATACAGCCAGCGTGGGGCTTTAAGATAACAAAGAAACTGCGTCCCATATTGGGATGGACAGATCTTATGTGTAAGGAACACCGTGGTATGAAAGCATTTCATTAAATCATTAACAGACTTGATCCAGAATAAAAAGGACCAAGATTTGTGTGTGAGCGCGCGCGCATGCACTAAAAAACAAAAATGAAGGTCTCAATCATAACCTCTAGCCGTTCGAATGAAATTGTCTGCAAGTCTTAGTTTACTACTGGCTTCTCTCTTTCCCTAGGGACCTTAATGTCTATATGAGCATTTTTTGAGTTACAATCCTAGATGAAACCTCTCACCCCTGCTTAACTACACAAATGGACAATGATACAGCTACAAACATGAATACATAAAATCACGTAGCTGGTGGCAAGGCCTGTCACAAAACTCTCCACCCATGCTGGGGACAGTCTTTTATCACATGTCCCGCCAGAGTAAGCTGGGACAGTAAGGCTTTTATTCACACAGTAACAGATACAAGCAGAGATAAAGAGAATGCACCACAGTAACGACAGAGAAGTGCCCCAGTAGAGATTTACACAGTAACAGTACAAGATAATTCACACAGTAACAGATACAAAAGAATTCACACAGTAACAGATACAAGAGAATTCACACAGTAACAGATACAAGAGAATTCACACAGTAACAGATACAAGATAATTCACACAGTAACAGATACAAGAGAATTCACAGCAACAGATACAAAGAATTCAACAGCATAGATACAAGAGAATTCACACAGTAACAGATACAAGAGAATTCACACAGTAACAGATACAAGATAATTCACACAGTAACAGATACAAAAGAATTCACACAGCAACAGATACAAGAGAATTCACACAGTAACAGATACAAGAGAATTCATACAGTAACAGATACAAGAGAATTCACACAGTAACACAGAGAATTCATAAGTAACAGACAAGAGAATACAATACAAGAGAATTCACACAGTAACAGATACACAGAATTCAACAGTAGAACAAGATAATTCACACAGTAACAGATACAAGAGAATTCATACAGTAACAGATACAAGAGAATTCACACAGTAACAGATACAAGAGAATTCACACAGTAACAGATACAAGATAATTCACACAGTAACAGATACAAGAGAATTCACACAGTAAACAGATCAAGAGATACACAAACTACAAGATAATTCACACAGTATCAGATACAAGAGAATTTACAGTAACAGATACAAGAAATTCACACAGTAACAGATTAATAGAACAGATACAAAGAATTCACACAGTAACAGATACAAGAGAATCACATATAGAACAAGATAATTCACACAGTAACAGATTCAAATGCTAGCAACAGATACAGAGAATTTACACAGTAAGATACAAGATAATTCACACAGCAACAGATACAGATCACACACAACAGATACAAGAGAATTCATACAGTCACAAGAGAAATTCTAACATACAAGAGAATTCACACAGTAACAGATACAAGAGAATTCACATGTCTTCAGATACAAGAGAATTCACATGTCTTCAGATACAAGAGAATTCACATGTGCTCAGATACAAAACTAATAATTCACAATGGACAGAAAAGAATTCCTACACTAATAGATAAAAGATAATTCACATATAAAAATATGGAAGAGAATTCAAATGCTAACAGATGGAAGAAAATTCACAAGCTAACAGATCCAACAGAATTCACAAGCTTACAGATACAAGAGAATTCACATACTAGCAGATACAAGAAAATTCGCATCCAAACAATACAAGATAATTCACATGCTAAGAGATGGAGGAGAATTTACAGGCTAACAGATTCTAGAAATTGAAAATTCACAGGCTAACAAATAAAATGGCTGACCAGATATATACCTTCAAGCCGGTGACCGAGGCATTATGGGCACGAGAGGAAAATGTGTTTTCTCCTGTAGCCAGATCCCACAACTCTAGTTTACCACCATCTGTCCACAGATTACCAATGAATATAATTATTAACAAGAAAATTATTCCTAGCTTCCCAATTATCACCCATTTTCCCATATTTCCCAGACACAGAGCCAAACTAATGTTGTCTCTCATTTTCAAGATACCAATATGTCACCTAACTTTAACCACTTGCTTGCTGGGGGAGAGGGGGCCAGTAGGTCTATTCTCCCCCCCACCCCGCTATCAAAAGGAGCATCAGAAACAAAATGGAGAACTGCAGTTTTCAGTTCATGTGTTGACACCCCTCTATGCCATGATGAAATGTCAAAAAGCTTCTTGCGCTGTCCTCCTGTGTTTCTCTTTCCACAGATCTTTCCAGTGGTCACAGCATGTTCTAGTCTCCTTCTTCTCATAATATGACCAACAAATTATAAATTTCTCTTTCTGATGTCTGTGTTGTTTCCGAGCCCTCGCCTCTTTCAAAACATCTGGGTTGCTCTTATTGGCTGTCCAGGCAATTCATAGAGATTCTTCTGTAAATCCACATCTCCAAGGCCTCAAGTAATTATTTGGCTTGTTTATGTGTCCAGGGAATTCAAAGAGATTCTAATGTGAAACCACATCTCCAAAGCCTCAAGTAATTATTTGGCTTGTTTATGTGTCCAGGGAATCAAAGAGATTCTTCTGTGAAACCACATCTCCAAGGCCTCAAGTAATTATTTGGCTTGTTTATGTGTCCAGGGAATTCAAAGAGATTCTAATGTGAAACCACATCTCCAAAGCCTCAAGTAATTATTTGGCTTGTTTATGTGTCCAGGGAATTCAAAGAGATTCTTCTGTGAAACCACATCTCCAAGGCCTCAAGTAATTATTTGGCTTGTTTATGTGTCCAGGGAATTCAAAGAGATTCTAATGTGAAACCACATCTCCAAAGCCTCAAGTAATTATTTGGCTTGTTTATGTGTCCAGGGAATTCAAAGAGATTCTTCTGTGAAACCACCAAGGCCTCAAGTAATTATTTGGCTTGTTTAGGTGTCCAGGGAATTCAAAGAGATTCTAATGCGAAACCACATCTCCAAAGCCTCAAGTAATTATCTGGCTTGTTTAATAATCTACATCTATAAAAGTGAATTATTTGCTCAAAGAAAGTATTAAACATGTGATTTACCTGAGCCAGTGATCAGCCGCGCTGCTGGGACACAATAAGCTATACGTACAACAGGGTTGTAGGTGTACACTGATTTCAGTACCTGTCCTGAAAGGAACATATTTAAAAGTATCACATCTTGACTTTGTATAAAAAGCAAAACACTGTGATTACATATAAAAAGTAATACACAATGGTTACATATTAAAAGTAACACACCCTGCTTACATATGAAAAGTAACATATTTAGATCACATTTACTACAGATGAAAAGTAAGGCACCTTGATTTTTTTTTAAGCATTTGCATATCCTTTACTGGACATTGCAGAACCAGCCCCAGCATTTTCTGGCTAGTTATAATTTCCCTATACAATTTTACATTAAGTAGTTTGCCATTGCTTTCTGAACGGTCAGCTCTCGATACCAGTGTTGAAACCAATTCTGTACCACTCTCTCCAGAACATAATGATCTGTTCGTGCCTCTGCATTGTCCTCTTGCTCCAAAGAGCTGTGACCACATCTAGCTTCATGCATAAATTAACCACCCATTGATGCAGAACCAGCTGCTCTGTGTGGCTGATCATTTCCCAACACTCCTGCATGACTTGGAGAAAATATCAAAAGAATACTAACTAACAGGGTAGTGTTGGTATATTCTGATCAGTAGAATCAGGTAGAGATATGGTTTGTGTGATGATTTGGCACACTGGCCCTGCACCCGACAGAAGCTTTGCGATCCTAGTGAGGTCCAGCTGTGACAAACCAAGGGAATATTTCAGTCCGGCAAGAGTTAATTGCATCTTTTGGTTAAAAGAATTGCACACTTAAAATAAATATAGTTGAATAGAGATGCGGGAAGAGTAGAAAATGTACGAAGGCGCACATAACTTATGACAATTTCTTAGTGTTACTAGGAGAAAACCTCATTCGTCACTACGTCAACGACAGCCCCAGCCTTTCCATCGGCCTAGCACCAAAAGAAATAATAATAATAATAATACGAATTCAGGTGAGATTTATAATGGTAGGCAGTAGCTGAGATCCCCTGTAAGCCTTAGCTGTATCCTGAAATATTTTATAGAGATCCTATCATTCTGTATTCCACCATTGTATAAATATTCCATGACTTCATCAACCTTGATACTTGTCCGTTGGACAATGGTAACTATTTACTAGTCCCTACATATTATGACATTCTTTACGTTACTATTCAATCAGGACTATGCATTAGCGAACCCTCCTTCCCTCTGCCATATTTTCTGAAAATTTTCATTTGGTTTCCTTGCTTAAGGAGCTTATGGTTTAAACCATCATCCTGTGCCATACAGTGCCATCAAGTGTTTATACACTACATTGCTTATGTTTATTATATTATGCAACATACAATTTGAGTAAAAGTCGTCAGCTGTGTGGGCATATAGGGTTGGCCTGTGTTTTATAGACCAAGTGGTACCTGGGCGTTGATGTGGTCAACATCACACCTGCCGCCTTTACTCCCCATGACTATACCTGGTGTCCATTCAAGGCGAAGTCGACCTGGGTCTGTTGGGACTTGAACTAACGACTGTCCAATCCGCATGCGAGCGTGTGTCCATTTAATCATGTCAAGTTCATATGATCGTGCGAAGAATTGTATGTGTATAAAACAATATATTATAACAGGGTGGAGAGATTTATTTTTGATATATTGCTTGTGGAGAAAGACAGTGTTTGTAATACCTTGCTCTTTCCCTTACTAATCTGATAACACCACAAACACCGCAACACTTCTACCTGCCACAGATGTGTTGGCATAATTCTCACCACAAGGCTGATTGATGTATTTTCCCAGGTTCCCTATAACACCATGGATTGTTAACAACACTGTAGAATGGAGATCCGGAATTAATTGAACAGTACTGGTTGAAGACAGCCTATAACTACCCTTGTGGCCAGTGTATTGTCCATACCACGGGAGAATGCCGTATTCCACTCGAACGATCCTTGAGATGAGTGACGTTTAGATACATTGAAATGGTTTTTATGTGCAATGATGAATTAATTTCCTTTTGAGTTGAATAATTTATTGGGATTTCTGGACTGTGTTATGTCAATACAATTGTTGATTTAGAAAACTCAAATATTGGATTATATCAATTAGTATCGATTTTAATTCCTTGTGTAGACAGAGTATTGTACGTTGTGATTTATTTGAGTTCAATTTACAAGGTGTTGAACTTTGTTATCCTGAAGTTAGTTAGAAGAATAATTATGTATTCAGTTCCATTCCGGGGATTCACCCTATTGATTTGATTATCTGTATTTCCCTTCCTTTCTTTATGAACTCAGGGACCCATAGAATTCCCCTAGACTTTCTTAATTCGAGCCCAGTAAAATATTTAGGAAGGATTATAGGGGATCTCCAGGCGAGGAAACATTCCGCCAAACTAGCATACCACACCAGCGACAAAGAATAAAAGTATCCCGCAGAGGTGTGGTTTGCGACCCTGGGGATTTGCCTTAGTGAACGCACTGACAGTGTAGTGAATGTAAAGCTCGCTCGGCCAGGGTTACAGGTAACCATACAGCGCCAAGTCAACTATCCTTTTGTTAATCTGTACTTTACATTAAAGACTGTCATGTGTGCTCTGTATGCCTCCGGGTTCAGTGTATGCTAGGTGTAGATTGTCTGTCAGAGGCTCACCAAAGTAGCCAAGGATCATCAAGGTCAATCAGAGATCTGTGACAGATAAAATGCCTGTCGTTCTGCCACGAGTATGCTTGTCTCCACCTGTCTCTGTGAGTCGGTCACCATCATCGGTTACTATCATCGGTTACTATCAGGTAATTCAGAACTAAGGCGGCCAAATGAACAGGGCCTTGACTCACCAGAGGAGCTGTCCTAGTTTAATTCTCAAATAAAGAATACGTGACCTCAAAATACTTGGAGAAGACAGAGGCAGAGATTATTTGCGTAGGAGGACATGGAGTGAGCAGAATGAATGGCTTGGTATAAGTGGTTGAGAGATATGCTACAATAGGGGATACAAGGGCTGAATGAGGAGCAGAAGGAGGAGAAACAGTAGAAGAAGAAGAAACAGAAGGAGGAGGAGACAAAGAAGAAAAGGGGAGGAGGAGGAGAAAAAACATCAGCACAAAGCAAGAGGAGGCAGCAAAGCAGCACAACAGAAAAAAAAAAATGAAGAAAAAAAGGGGAAGAAGAGAAAGGTAACATATGATCAGTCTTAGTTGTAGCAGGTAACATGGCTGTGCTGATGCACGAGTACCTGAATTTAGTGCCCATAGCTTGAAGGTACTGTCCAGAGATCCACTAACAAGTAGCTTGTCATTTTCTGGTAAGGTCACGTCTGCTTGAATGGGTGGATAAGAACACAAACAGTATATTACAATCTCATACAAAGGTAAACAATTTCAACACAAAAATTCAACACTAACTAAGCTGAAATAAAATGCTGTAGAAACATTTCTAGAAAATAATTAAAGAGAAGAAAAACACACTAGCCATGTGGTCATAAATCCTTAGGCTCAGCCCCCCCCCCCCCCCCCCCCCCCCCCCACCCCAAAATATGGCTATAATAAATGCTGCAAAAGTGGTATAATAAATGCAGTAATGGGCAGTTTTATTAACTGACAATATAAATGGAAAAAAATTTAAAAATTAGACAGTTGAGTTAAGTTGAGTCAAGAATTGACATCACAGCACTCGGGGCATTCCCATGCATGCTCTGTCCTCATCTTCAGCAGCAAGCGCAGAGTTCCAATACTGATGGTACCGGTCACAATCTGGTTAAAAGTTTGTCTTGCCTTTCCTCTTAGTGTAGGGAGCCGACCAGACCCTCTGGTTACACCCAGGTGCCTCATTCTCTCCAGGTCATAATAAATCTTCTTTCTCTACTGATTCCGTTGATTGTTTCCAATGGGCCTTGACCACATCTGCCTTGTCATGTATCAATTCACCACCCAGTGGTGCGGATCCAGCCAATCTGTCTGCCTGTTCAGTACCCACCCCGCCGGCATGGCCTGGAAAAAAGATCCAAAGTATGCTCACCACCCATGACCTTTCCAGTGAAGCTTGCCACTCTGCTCAAAGCATCCCTATCTTCATCTTTTTCAGCATGCTTTCAGAGTCTGTTAAAATTACGACATGTGTATGCATTTTGTTCTCTAGCCACCGGAGAGCTGCAGTTACCGCCTCCACCTCCATTCTCATGCTAGATGTTGTAGTGTCATATGCTAGGCTGTCTTGCACTAAAGATTTTCCACTGGCTTTTGCTATGAACCCCCAGGCACTTCTCTTTCCTCTCAACACTGAACCATCTTTATAGATAATCAGATCACTTGTACGTGAATTGTCGTGAATCAACTGTTAGACTTCAATCTCCATAGCACCCCCTGGCTTCTCTCTGCACACCTGAAAAATTAGACAATTAAAATGAAAACAAACCTCTAGCATCATGAAGTACAAGCAGTGATGTCACAGTCTCTGTATGACCTCCATAGCTACGAAGCTCTTTGCCCGTGGAGACCTCCCAGCATTTGAGAGTTGTGTCCCTGCTACAAGCAATACAAGTGGAGAAAGTTTGGTTCAAGTAAAGACATCCCTGATAGTGTTAATTAAATACAACACCAGCTCTGATTGTGTTAAAGTAAAAACATCCCTGATAGTGTTAATTAAATACAACACCAGCTCTGATTGTGTTAAAGTAAAAACATCCCTGATAGTGTTAATTAAATACAACACCAGCTCTGATTGTGTTAAAGTAAAAACATCCCTGATAGTGTTAATTAAATACAACACCAGCTCTGATTGTGTTAAAGTAAAAACATCCCTGATAGTGTTAATTAAAGCCAACATCAGCTTTGACAATGTTAAAGTCAAAACATCCCTGATAGTGTTAATTAAAGCCAACATCAGGTCTGACAGTGTTAATTAAAGCTAACATCAGCTCAAGACCAACCCTGACTAATAAAACTGTTTGATGCAGTGACTGTAAAAAAACCCACTACATTTGCCTGTGAAACTGTCGCTCCTCTGGCAGTGAGCTACTTTATGATAAAGCATCACTTCAAAGGTCCCAGGATATTTTCTCCAGATATGCCGGTGTATTGGGAAATGAGCAGGCAGATAGAATGGCCGGTTCTGCACCACTTGGTGGTGAACTGATGTATGAAAAGTTGGATGCTGTAAGGGGCCTTTGGGAGTGAGTCAGCAGTGCCGAGGCACAGATAGATCATTAGTCTAAGGAGAATTACACTGCAAGGAGTTACAAGGGGATCTGGCCGACGCTCGACACGAGGAAAGGTAAGACGGATATACAATCAAACAGTTACTGGTACCATCGGAATTTTAACTCTTTGCTTGCTGCTGAAGATGGGGACGGAATGCTTATGGGGGTAGGCTGTGATGTCGATTCTTAATTTAACATTCAACATGATAAAGTGGATGTGGAGAAGGCTCTCTGGAATCAAATGGACAGTGCAATAGAGCAAGCAGACAGAGATTCCACACATTGAAACAGAGATTCCACACATTGAAACAGAGATTCCACACATTGAAACAGACAGAGATTCCACACACTGAAAGACTATTTCAGTAGAAAGGGGGGGGGGGTGTGAGCAGAGGTTTTGGAAGATACTCAACAGACAAGGGGAAACACAGATGAACTTTTAATCAGGTTCTAACTGAAACTGTCAGCATGTGGACTCTTCAGTGGCTACTGAGGAAGGAGATGGAACACCTGTAGGAATGTCCCACGTGTAATGATGCTAATTCTTGATGCATTCATTCATTCATTGTCTGCAAAACTGTTATGAATGTACATGAAAAATCTAATGCAGAGACCAACTGTTGTAGAAATAGCTAGTCTGTTTTCAGATAAGAACCCCCTGTGTGTGAACCGGGTTCCCACTGTTGCAGAAAACAAGAACAGACCTAATGTCACCTAACAAGCATGTTGTAAGAGTCAACTAATTAGGGGTTTACTTCAAAAGTCGGGGGTTAGGTTCACTTTAATCTCCCCAAATAGAGCAGGTCACTTGTCATTCACAAGTTTTGTGGGCTGGTCGACTTTCCTGAAGATTACGGGTGTGTCCAGCTCTGTTGTTTGCTTTCTGTGATGTCTTGCATTAACATTTTAATTCCGAGAAAGAGAATGCCTGTGACATAGGCTGCAGCACTCTCTAGGGGGTTGTGTTAAGACCAGTTTCTCCATGTTTTTGTTAAAAGCGCTGGCGTGCTGAAATATACAACATGTGATATCAACGGCATTGCGGAACACCCCCGTAACCTTGTTCCAAGGTAACAGGTTCAGGAACTACCACTCAGAAGTGAGCTAGTGTGTATTTGGGAGAGGGATGGGGAGACCAACGTTACTTTTACCAAAGTCGAAGTTCATTTGTTTGAAAGGCAAGGAACCAACAGTCTGCATACAAATAAGCTAGATCTGTAAAACAGATGTGAATGCAAAGCTGAGGTTCTGGAACAAGACTAAGTCCAGAAGTTGATGAACAACCAGAACTTTCTGCCGGAGTTTACAGTCTGTAAACACAAAGAAGAATAAGAAGAAGAAATAAGAGTAGATGACATACATATGAACATTTTACTGTGCTGTTTCAAAATTCACCAATCACGTGTGTGCTGACAGCGGGGTACAGCACTGATACAGGACCGTGTTCAGTTGATCACAAATGTGGATACATACAGTCAATCTTCAGTTGTTTCCACACCACTCTGGTATGGTTGCAGTCAAGGTCAATTCTATTTTCTTATACGAATGAGAGAGTTGGGCTCTCACAGTGGAAAAAGAAAGGAGGATTCAGGTTTTCGAATGTAAGTGCCACAGACGCATTTTAGGAATTAGTTATTTAGAACACAGAACTAATAAATATGTCAGAGACAAAATATACAAATTTGCGTGACATCAAGAGCCTCTCTTGGCAGTGGTAAAACGTCGCAAGCTAGCTTAGTTTGGGCACGCGGTGAGACATGATTCGATAGCAAAGACTGTACTTCAAGGAACATTGGGGGTAGTTGAAGAAGAGGAGGGCAAAGAAGAATCTAGAATGACAACATCAAGAAATGGACAGAACAAAGTTATTATACACTTATTCATCAAGCGGAAGAGAGAGAAAGTTAGCAGGTTTTATCTGCTAGTGCTTCCATCAATACACCTCCATGACCCTAAGAGGTCAAGGGTTATGTTATATTATGTAACGCCACTTTTGAATTGTGAATACTAGCTAATATCTGTGCAAGAATAAAACACTGGTACAAATATACTTATCATCTTAGTTCAACTGTCTCAACAGCACTTAACTCAGTTTTAAAATAAAGGGCCCTTCTCCGCGCCTTCAGGTGTAGTGGGCATATAGGGCTAGACCTATATTTTGTAGACCAATCGGCACTCGGTGGGTGATGTGGTCAGCATTACGTCGACCGCCTTTACTTTCCAGGACTGTATCTGGTACCGACTCAAGGTTGGGGCTACCTGGGAGCCAAGGTCATTTTTGAAAAAGTCTGGCCCCAGCTGAACTATAAACAGGATTTAATATTAGCTCTTTGCATGATGCCGCAATTGTAATCATACACGCCCACCAGCTAAACAGAATGGCTGCTGGTCATGCAGCTTGCAATTTTGCCAGCAGAACATTGACGAATGTTGCCTGTTTGGATTACATGCTTTGCTTTAGGGATGGTATCTTTGTCTCGGTTCTAATAATATCACTGTCATTATTTAACTGTGTTTGTCGTTTGAACCATTAAACAAAATGCGCTGATCTGTTTTAATTTGTGCAGGTGCTAGGGCAGCAGAACAACAAAAGGAAGAACGTCAAGTTACTGGATGCTAAACAAAATAATTACCTGGCAGTAACAACTTTATCGCCAATGACAACCAAGGCAGTCACCAGGTCACTATGACCCTCCAAACAAGACAGCCGGCAGTAGGATTCAGCCAGTTGAGGTTTTACATTCTTGCCCTTTGGTTTCTGTTTCTTGACATCTCCTGGCAAGTGAAAACAAATAAATGCCTCTACCACACATATAAAACTGTAAACCCATGTACACACAGAAAGAGTAACAAAACAAGTGATAGAAACTGAATGAATGAAGACACGATATCATTGTACTCACGTATTTCCACATGTGCTGTGTAACTCTTGGATTTTTTTCGATTTTCTACCAAGCATGTGTGGTTAAAAATGAGAAGGAGACAAAGTTCTTTGGTCGTGTGATGAGAAAAGGAGCACTGGAAAATATTGTGACGACTGGGAAGATCACTGGTAGAAGAGGCAGAGGCAGACCAAGAGAAATGATGGTGGCTGGCTTAAGACAGTTGCATGGAGGAATATCATCAGTGGAATTGATCCAGAACACCAAAGACAGAGATCTGAGGAGATGCATGAACGCCTACGCCAGCTGGCATGGCACTTGATGGTGACATGCAGTTATAATGATGAACATAAAATCAGATGATTTTAAGAGGGGTGCAGAAATATAAATTTTCAGGCAACATCTGGTAATAAGACAAAGATGGCGCCATATTGGACACATACTGAGAAGAAACAAGCAGAGAATCACCAGACAGGCTCTAAAATGGAAAATAAAGGGATTGATAAAGTGAGGTCATCCAAAAGAAACTCAAAAACAAACGTTGACGAGAGAGGCCAAAGGTGCAGGACTGGATTCCACACATGATATTGAGAGATTGCACAAGATAGAATAGAATAGAAGAATCGACTGTGAACCCTATGTAACATACGATGGCATAACAGGACAAGGATGAGGATGATGTGTAACTCTCTTCAGAAGAGAACAATGTATATTTATGCTGGAGAATGAAGTTAGAAAGATGGGAAGGACATAGGGAGAGCTCCATGTAATGGTGAAGGATAGAACGACTTGGCGTGAGTCGGTTGAGGGCCTATGCTCCATTGGGGGTAGAAAGGCAGAAGAAGAAGAGTGCCAGTGGCAAGCTGATTGAGGTCTGTTTTCCCCTGCATGTTGATTGTCATCTACACTTGATGTCACTATCTCCTGTCTCAGGTATGGACACTGTTCTGCTGCTCTCAACAACTGATACCTGAGAGATTTACTATTACAAAGCAGCTCAATGCCCAGAGGTGCGGTAGCAGCCAGTCTAACAGTCTGCTTACTGCTCACTATTACCACCTTTCCTGGATAGAAAATCCAAGATCTTGTAATCTCTGTTCAATTACGCAATGCAAGTCATCCCATGCTAATATATCAGTTTCTACTGTCTTTCATATGCTCTCAAAACTTGTACAAATGCAGAATGTCCGGATGGGAGGGGACTGGGGAAGGACTGGATCGGAAGGGAATGGATGAGAAAGGAATGTATCAGAAAGGAAAGAATGGGAAAGGAAAGGATGTGAAGGAACGTAATGTGAGGTTATTGAGACAGTACTGGCTTTACCTCTTTCCATCTACTGCAAAGTTGCCATTACGATCTCCGCTTCCATTCTCAAGAGAAAGAAGAAAAGAAGAAAACATGCATACACTCATCCATCCCCCACCATGTGTGCTCATTAACGAGTTACAGATAAAATACACAATACTGACATGCAACAACTTATTTCATGATTTATTATTTAGTTCTTGTTCATGATCATCATCATCATCATCATCAATCAGCAGGTATTTGACATGTCATCATTCTCATCACGGCACGCCTGAAAGTCTCTCTTTCCTTAGGAAATTCTCCAGCCCTATGTGCTTTCACAGCCAATGCACCCTGAATGTCATGTATCCATCTTCACAGAGGTCTGCCTCTGCCTCATTTTCTGGAAATAGTAGCCTCCAGGCCGCCACGATGTTTAACAAGACCAAAATACCTCAGCTTTCGGGACAAGATGCTGTTTACGAGCCATTTCTCCTCAATGCTCAGATCACGTATGATGTCTGTGTTTATCCTTGATTAACATTCATATATATATATATATATTTTTTTTAACGTATCCAGAAACCATGAGTTGTAAACCCCTTGGCTCAGTATTATGGATATCGCAACCTTTCGGCCTTGATTCCATTGTAAATACCGTAAATCTGGGAGAAATGTGGCTTTTCTGCCTACCCCCGGGAGTGAACCCGGACCACAAGGAGTTCGTCACCCGGCCGCCGCGAAAGTCAGGTTTAACCAACTTCGCTAGAGGGCCGGGCTCATATATATATATATACACACAACTAATATATGTTGTGGTACATGCTTTTGTGCATGTTATTTCCTTGATCTGAAAGTAAACGCCAATTAGACATAACTTGTTCATTTAGTTAGTAAATGAATAATGATGCAAAAGTGCTCACCTGTGCCCTGTTGATGGACCTGTGGTTCCTTCACTGTGCTGTAAACAGAATGTACAACATTTTCAATAATGTATGTTTGATATCCAACCTACAAGAGGTGTTGACCATACAAGTTAACAACATCTGTACGTGCAGACAAGTGCAAGAAAATGTCAGCAATGTAAGGAAAACCTATGTTAACATGAATTCAGGAAAACCTATGTTAACATGAATTCAGGAAAACCTATGTTAACATGAATTCAGGAAAACCTATGTTAACATGAATTCAGAAAAACCTATGTTAACATGAATTCAGGAAAACCTATGTTAACATGAATTCAGGAAAACCTATGTTAACATGAATTCAGGAAAACCTATGTTAACATGAATTCAGGAAAACCTATGTTAACATGAATTCAGGAAAACCTATGTTAACATGAATTCAGGAAAACCTATGTTAACATGAATTCAGGAAAACCTATGTTAACATGAATTCAGGAAAACCTATGTTAACATGAATTAAAAATGAAAGTTTTCTACATCTTTAGGCCAATCATCAAAATTCAAGGGAACATACAATCAGGCTGCTACTGGTTCCATCAGAATTGGAATTCTGGGCTTGCTCCTGAAGATGGGAATGGAGCGCTTAAGGGAATGTCCCAAGCACTGTGATGTTGATTCTTAATTCTACATTCAACTTACAGTAAATGTTGTGAGTGTTGGAAATCATGTCTGTCCACAGCCTTCTGTCACATGCACTGTCAATCACTTCTAATACAGAAGTTATTCTATGATACCAAACTTACTTAGCAAACAAACAACAACAACAACAAAAACCCCACCCCCACAAACACGCATGCGTGCACGCACACACACATACACATAAAAGGTAGATCTCCATGGCGAAGTAGTCAAGCTGTTTGCCTCGCACTCTGAAGCACGTGGGTTTGTTGTGCGGCGACACTGTTCAGTTCTTGAGTGCAATTTTCACTGAGACCCTTACGGATCATCGCCGGAATTAAGGAGTTTGTGCTTTGTGTGATGTTTTTGGCAGACGGCTAGCCGCTCTGTGGAGAGGGACCGAGCCATATGGGATAAAACCCGGTGCAATGAAGTCGATCCTCTTGATACACACACACACACAAAGGTTTTGTCCATATTAGCATTATGGTTAGTGCCTTGTGGGAGAACGTGTACAGATTGCAGGAGCAGAAGAATCACCCCAGTCTAGTTAGACTGATGCAGTGGGGGAGTGACGATAGGTTCTGGCAGATGCTTGAGGCTCAGAGGAAAGGCAAGGCGGACATTTAACCAGAATTGTAAGAATCTTTCTACAGCATTTCAGCTCAAAAACCCATAATTTCTTCCCTAATGATTGTTTCTGAGTGCAGAACTCTCATGCATATCTTGCTGCAAGCAAGATGGATGCTCTCAAAATTCTCACTCTGATTTGCTTGCTGGTACGTAGCCAAATATTTGTTTATGCTGTTCAGTCTTTGCGTTGCTCTGGTCATGCTTCTTGTAACTTCTCTTGAATAGTCTCCATTGCTGTTGGCAATGGAGCCTAGATTGCTGTTGGCTATGGAGCCTAGATTGCTGTTGGCTTTGGAGCCTAGATATCCCAAGTGTTTGTCCATACGGAGACAGTAATTATATAAACATCACATTATATACATGGAACTCATCAATCTACAATGATTAAAATCATCTACATTGTCAGGATCAACAGAAACAAACGAAAGACTGAATAGGAAAGAAAAACAGACCTAAAAGGAAAGAAGCATTAAACAATAAAGGGATGGAATGAGGAAGGAATAAAGAAAGGAAGCAAGAAAGCACAAGGAAAGAAAGAAAGAAAGCAAAAAAGAAAGAAAGAAAGAAAGAAAGAAAGAAAGAAAGAAAGAAAGAAAGAAAGAAAGAAAGAAAGAAAGAAAGAAAGAAAGAAAGAAAGAAAGAAAGAAAGAAAGAAAGAAAGAAAGAAAGAAAGAAAGAAAGAAAGAAAGAAAAAAAGAAAGACAGTCAGGCAGGCAGGCAGGCAGAGAGAGAGAGAGAGAGAGAGAGAGAGAGAGAGAGAGAGAGAGAGAGAGAGAGAGAGAGAGAGAGACAGACAGACAGACAGACAGACAGACAGACAGACAGACAGACAGACAGATAGATAGAATGATAAAACAAACCTAACGTCCTTGGTAGATTCATGGGACTTCTGTTTACTTCCTTGGTCGCTTTCCTCATCATTTGTAAATGAACTTTTTTCGTCTCCAGCTCCTCTAGAGATTTCATTGCGGGATTTCTTGTACTGTCTTGATGACTTTTCTGTCACTTGTTCTTCTTTTTCCAGTTGTTCTTCCAATGCATCCTGAAGCATTTCTCTGATGTCATCTTTGGAATTTACCTAATAATATATGTGTTGTTAAAATTTCATTTCAGAAATAGGTTCATTAGTAAAGTCATTGCAAGATACATAAAGATCTCCCCATGTAGGTTCTGTGGCTATATTCTGGAGAGGTTTTGAGGTTTTGAACAACGGATCAACATCACGGTACACGGGTAGTAACCCAAAAGTGCTCTGTTCTTCTTCTAGCTCAAATCTGAGTCCGAAAAAGCTCAGCACAATGCACAGACTCTGCAGCACCAGCGAGGATCCTGAAATATTTTGGGTAGATTTTTAACTCCAAATTTTGCCCGGCAGTGCAGTTAGGCTACTCTTTTCAATTTCCAACTGCCAAGGGATTTTTTTTCGTGTGCAACAAAGCACACAGGCATCCGATCTCACTACCCAGAGACTAGGGAAAATTACAAGAAGTCCAAGTCCATGTGAAAAAATCCCAATCCTTACCGGGGATTGAACCAGGAACCTCTAGCACTCGAGGCAGACACCATGCCTCAAGACCACGCAGCCCAACTCTATATTTTGGACAACAAAGAATAAACTCACTGCCACCCACTTATAAACAAGTTTGTCAAAGGAAGCAACTAATTAGGGGTGTTTCCTTCAAACTCAAGTTTTGGATCAAGACCAAAGTTCAGGAGTGGACAAACAACCAGAACTTTCTGCTGGAGTTTACTTTCAGTGAATGCTAAAAACAAAAAGAACACGTAAAGTTCACAAATTAAACCAAACTGATAAAGATAAATATCACAAAATGACAATGATATGCAAGTTGTGTCCTGGAAGATGCTGCAGGGACACACCGTTGTATTTCCAAAGAGAGCCGTTGGTGCATTACAGCCAACTTTCATTGTGGAGATGGCACATTATAAAAGACTGTCACTGTGTGGGTTACAGGCCCTATTGTGGAGAAAACAAGAACAGACCCACTGCCTACCAACAAAAAACAAAACAAAAGAAAAAGCATACCGTAAGAGTAGACTAGACTAATTGGGAGCTTCCTTCAGTCAGAATGCATCTGCCCCAGGGGCATGGAACAACCAACTGCACACAAATATGCCAGTAAAATGGACGTAAACGCCAATCTCAGGCCCTGGCACAAGGCTTAAGTCCAAATAGACGAACAACCAGGACTTTACACTGGAGCTTACAGCCGATGAACAAAGAAAAAGAAGAAGAAGAAAGATTGAAGGAAACATACCAAAGAAGAGGTTAGGGACTTATACAGAAACAAAATTATATTAAAAATGTCACAACCTGAACTGAATCTACAGAATGTCAATAAATAAAGTGAGCTTCAGGTTGCTGAGATCAGAATGCCCAAATTAGACATCTTGATTCTAAGAATGATTTAGAGATTTTAAAAAACCTGGCCTGTAAATTATATAATCCCATAATATAATTTGGATTGAAAGTATATAGTTCCATCGGCCATCTATTGAGCTGAGTGTGTGGCACAACATTTGGAATGCCTTTCAAATGTACCCAAAGGATTTGTGTTGTGAACTGCAGATTCAGAAAACGGCAAGTGACTGTTGCCAAAGAGCTGTTACTGTTTTATGCAATTAACTGCATGTGCAACTGTTGTAATGTGCAACTACTGATTTGTTGTAATGTCCAACCATCTACTGATTTGTTGTAATGTGCAACTACTGATTTGTTGTAATGTGCAACTAATGATTTGTTGTAATGTGCAACTAATGATGAGTTGTAACTGCTGCTTACACCAACAATGAACTGCAGTTTCGGTGCTGGATGTTTGTGTTGGCACTTCTGACAGCTGCCTTATTCATTTAATATGTGTGTGTATGTGTGTGTAGGTATGTGTATGTGTACTATTGGCCTTGCCAAGACTGTGTCAATATTTTCAAAAGGAACTGTGATTAGCAGACTTTCGTTAGGAAAGGAATGGAGCAACTATGGGGTGATCCATCTGCTATGAAGGAACAGAACTGTGATTACTTGATAATCAATGCTTTGGTAAGCAGACTATATTCTATGTGTTGAAGAAACAGAACAATTTACACCATCATGTTTTGAATTCAGGCTTTTGAATGTAAATGCCATAGACAATTTTACGAATTTGTTATTTAAAACACAAAACTAACAAATATGTCAGAAACATTAATATACAAATTTGCAGGGCATTAAGAGCCTCTCTTGGTAGTGGTGAAACATCACAAGCTAGCTTGGTTCGGGCACATGGGGAAAAATTATTTGATTGCAAAGAATATGGGAGGGGGAGGGGGGGGGGTAAGTTGAAGAAGAGGAGGTCAAAGAAGAACCTGGAATGACAACATCAAGGAATTTACAGTACTAAGATATCATTTATTTATTCATTTAAGCGAAAACAGAAAGATGGGAGGTTTTATGTGCTAGTGCTTCCATCGATACACCTCCACAACACTAACGGGTCAAGGGTTATGTTATGTTATGAATACTGAATGCAAACAAAGAAATCACGAGGTTAGCAAATAGACCCTGTCAGTTATTATTTTGGAATAAAAATTCAAGAAGCTGAGCCTTTTTAGATTGTGGAAAATCAACAGCTGGATAAATACAAAGAAGAGTGTAATAAGTAAAGGACCATTTTCCAGGCCTTCAGGTGCATTTGGCATATAGGGCTAGACTTATATTTTATAGACCAATCAACACTCCGTGGGTGATGTAGTCAACATCAAGGTATCCGCCTTTACTTCCCAGGTTTTTACTTGTACCTATTTACTGCTGGGTTGAGCTGAGAGCCAAGGTAATTTTTTAAAAACAGTCCAGCTCCATTTGGATTTGAACCAAGGGCCTTCAGGTCCATAGGCAACATCAGCTCCCATCAAGAGTACAACATAAATTAAAATCCAGTTTATGTGATAAATTTGGTGCAGAATTGAAACCTTCAGCCCCCTCAGTCAGGCGTCAAAATGGTTGATTGCACGGACAAGAAGCCCGAGATATGGAAGATCACTAATACAATACAGTTGGCAATGATCCGCGGGCCATTTGCTAGGCCTCAGCGGGCCGCCAGTTGAAGAGTCCTGGAGTAGAACATCAGTATGGGGACAGTTAGACCCTGACTAGATTTAGATTGGTTTGTCTATGGCTGCAAAAATAATTTACACAAATGCATTGTAATTTCTAGCCTTAATGATCTCGTCTTGCGTTAACGATCGATGTAATATTTCCAGATTTTCTATCTGGCGCAACTTTTTCCGGAGTTTTCTGATCAAACTATCGAGGTTCCCTGTAGATGTGGACATTCTCGTTCGCTGACTCCGGCCGGCACCGGAAATCCAAGTTTTTACTTTTTCCTTCAACAAACGTCAACCCTGCTTGTTTTACTTTCGTTTTCTAAAACTTGTGTGATGCACGTCGCCTTCATATATTCTTCTTCTTCTTCTTCTTTATTATATTCCCCCAATGAAGCATACGCTCTCAACCAACTCACGCCAAGTCATTCTATCCTTCGCTATTGCATGCAGCTCTCCCCATATCCTCCCCATCCTTTTTAACTTTACTCTGTACCTCTTTTCTCCATGTGTGTGTGGGTGTGTGTATGAACGTGAGTGTGTGTGCGCGCGCGTGTGCTTTTTTTCTGTGGCCTTAGGGGTTCCAGTTGTCACACATTTTCTGAACGTGTGTCCTAATCCAAAGCCGGCGTCTTTAGCATGCCACCTCTTCGTTGGTTACCGAAGAAAGGACGGAGTACGTGTGCAGTAATGTCAATTCTTGATTCATTCATTCAAACTCAGCATTAGTGATTTTATCATACCATTTTATTCCCTCTGTTCTGTGCGGGCACCAGTAAATGAATATTTGTAGCTTATTAGTAATTGTTTAAGTTGTTCTCAGTGTTTCCGCTCCATATGGCAGAAAATATTAGGGCTCTCCTCCTACTTTTACACACAATTGAGGCCCTGTTAGGGACATATTTTTAAACGTGATCATTCAGTATACCATCATTCGAATGAAAGCCACAATTTGACATTATAATTAAAAAGTTTAAGTTTAGTTATTTGTTTGAATTTCTGTTGACCTCCAAAAATTTCCGAGGGCAATGAAAACCAATCTTGCCTTTTGTATTCATATTTTAATATCTCTATAAGTTCCCCTATCTTTATCCACACTTCTGCCCAAACAGGTGTATGATTCCACATTTTGGAGTGGGGAGACCATTAAGAGAAACGACATTATTATTTGCTAGATTTATTCTCATTATTTTTGTCTTTCCCTTATGGATTTTTAGACCAAGCTGCTGTGATCTCGCATCAAGTACATATAATTTATCTTGCATTTCATTTCGTGAGTGGGACAGACAAGAAATATTATCAGCAAAGTCCGGGTCCTCAAGCTATCAAAACCAGAGTCCAGGAATGGACGAACAACCAGAGCTTTCTGTCGAAATTTACAGCCGGTAAACGCTTAGAAGAAGAGGAAGACAAATAAAATGATTTCAAGTGTTGTGCTGCAAATGTTATTTGGAGAAAGCAAGGTTGGCATACCGTTTATGACAAGGAAAGATCTGGGCGCAGAATGATATAATAGCAGCATAAAACAGAAAAAAAATATACATGTTAAGATCCTGTAGGTAAACACAGGTGGGGCATGACAGAGAAAAGCAACTGGCTTCACAGAATACTTAACGTTATGTTTTCGCTTTCACAATCGATGCACGGAGACACGCCATACAGTTTGTCTGCTGCGGTGTTACCAGGAAAGGGGCAGGTCGATCCACAGCAAACTGAAAGTAGAACCGGACACCAATTTTGTAAGTAAATCTGTTTGCAGAGTGTTTTTGCGAGATATTTTAGTATTTTAATAATGAAATTTGATTTTCATCTCATGCGACATGTAATTTATTCAAGTAAATCAAGGATTTGTAGTAATATAGTTCAGTTTTAAAGTGAAAAACTTGAGCCAGGTTCAATTGAAAGAGTGGACAGCCATTTTGCCAAATTCTTTCTTATCAGATCAGTGTTATCACCCAACCCTATCCCCATTTACTGCGGGAATTCTTCTTCTTCTTCTTCTTCTTCTTCTTCTTCTTCTTCTTCTTCTTCTTCTTCTTCTTCTTCTTCTTCTTCTTCTTCATCATCCTCCTCCTCCTCCTCTCCTCAGAACATTAATTAACTGGGTACTTTAGTGAAATTTTCAGAATTATTTTTAAGTAATTTCAACTAAAATAGTTGGGCTCTCCTCCGAACTTCGTCCTAATATTATAGCGGCCATAAAATATCCTTACGGGGCTCAGTTCTATTAAAAATATGCCGGCTCCTTATAACGAAACAAATGCTCTTACAGGGTCTTAGCAATATGTTACTTGCGGACCTGTTTCTGTGACTGTGCCTCACCGCCGATCGTATCCCCGCGCCGCTACGCGCGGCGCGGATGGGGGCTAAACTAGATGGCTGGGACTCACGAGCAGCAGCTACCGCATCTCCTGCAACTTCCTCCAATTAATTTGCCCATGAGTCCTAGGCACCTAGTTTAGCTCCCCCCCCCCATCTGCACGTAGCGGCGTGGGGGATACGCTCGGTGGTGAGTTTAATCGCATTTTGCGCATGCCAAAAAGTGTGAGGATACAGGTCGGCAGGTCTGACATCTGCCGCTGCTAAATCCTCAATCGGAAGAACAGTATTGCTTATCTGCGTGGGAGCGCGTGATCTACCCGCCATATCACTTTCATCATCTGTAATGTCTCAAAATTGTCAATAGTTGCAATTATCGTCTGCTAATATCGTCTGCAGAAACGCTCAAAATTGTCAATGGTCGCTTTTGTCGTCTGCTACTATCGTCTGCAATGTTGCATCTCTTGAAATTGTCAAGTAATCCTAGTTTTGCCACGATTTGTTCCTTGGCAGAAAGTCTGCATTTTACATATGCCTGAGCCCCGTAAGGATATTTTATGGCCGCCATAATATTAGGACGAAATTCGGAGGACATCCCATAGTTGGAAAGGTATTGAGAAATAGGCTACCCTCCGAATAACGGTCCTAAATTATCGAGGCGGAAAATATAACCTAACAGGGCCTCATTTACGTGTCAATTGCGCACTTCCGTCGTCTTAAATTGCGCACTTCCAGCTACTTCCGCCACCGCTCACGTGGTGTGAATTGGGGCTAAACTAGATGGCTGGGACTCACGAGCAGCAGCTACCGCAACTCCTGCAGCTTCCTTCATTTTATTTGCTCATGAGTCTTAGCCATCTAGTTTAGCCCCAATCCACGCTGCATGAGCGACGTGCGGGATACTCTCGGCAGTGGCGGAAGTCGCCAGAAGTTAGCAATTCGGCGGTGGCGTTATAGTCCCTGGAAGTGCGCAACTGACAGGTGACTGAGGCCTTGTTTGTATATATTCTTCGCCTCGATAATTTAGGACCATTATTCGGAGGATAGTCGAGAAATGGGCTATCTTCCGAATAACGGTCCCAAATTATCGAGGCCAAAAATATACCCTAACAGGGCCTCAGTCACGTGTCAGTTGTGAACTTCCGGGGATTATACCGCCAATCCAGAAATGCAATCCAGTGGTAACCCATTCAAGTCTATACGTCAATTCTATGCCGAGATATTAATTTTTTAGGGCTAGTTATATAAATAATAGGAACAAAAAAGAAAGTACTTTAGGGCACATTCAGATTTTGTGTCCAAACACTTACTATGCTGTAACTTGTTTGTTCATGATCAAACAAAATCATCATCATCATGTAGCAATTCTTTTGCAGAACTTCGCTCTCATCACGGTCTGCCTGAAAGAAACGCGGTCTCTTGCCAGCTCATGTACTTTCATACTCAAGGAGTCACTTATTTCCTGTGCCCATCTTCGTGTTGGTCGGCCCCTGCCTCTCCTTCCTGGTACCATGCCTTCTGCTATTAGTTTTTCCAATCCGTCATGGTGCTGGATATGATCAAACATAGCAACCATATATTACTGTGTTCAGGACAGTGACACCCAATAGAATAAATACTTAAAAAAAAAAAATTTTTGTCATATAATCACATTAATGTTCATAATTAAAAAATTAAATACAATTAGAGGCAGTCAGTAAAAAACTATTCTATTGTGTGGTTGGTGGATGGAACTTTTAGGTCACATTGCTGCTTTAACATTTAATTATTAAACAACATTTAATTATCAGAGAAATAACTCGCCATCTGGCTAAGATCAAAGTGTAGCTCTGACCTAATATCGCCAGGCTGGGCTTTTAGGAACCAAACTGTTTTAAAAAAATTAGAGGCAGTCATTTATTCTATTGTGGGTTGGTGGATGGAACTTTTAGGTCACATTGCTGCTTTAACATTTAATTATTAAACAACATTTAATTATCAGAGAAATAACTCGCCCATCTGGCTAAGATCAAAGTGTAGCTCTGACCTAATATCGCCAGGCTGGGCTTTTAGGAGACCAAACTGTTTTAAAAAAATTAGAGGCAGTCAGTAAAAAACTTATTCTATTGTGTGGTTGGTGGATGGAACTTTTAGGTCACATTGCTGCTTTAACATTTAATTATTAAACAACATTTAATTATCAGAGAAATAACTCGCCCATCTGGCTAAGATCAAAGTGTAGCTCTGACCTAATATCGCCAGGCTGGGCTTTTAGGAGACCAAACTGTTTTTAAAAAAAAATAATAAACCACTCACACAAAAGAGCTGTAGGCTTCCAGAAGCTAAACTCGGCCCCAGTCCCCAGCTGATGGAGTGTTGTCTGCTGCTCAAGGAGGCAAGAAAGAAGAAAGTGAAGATGATGAGGGTTTTGACTAATCAGTAATCATCATCATGTAGCAGGTCCTTTGCAGAACGTCGCTCTCATCACAGTCTGCCTGTAAGAAACTCGGTCTCTTGCCAGTTCTCCCGCCTCATGAACTTTCACACTCAAGGAGTCACTTATATCATGTGCCCATCTTCGTGCTGGTCGCCCCCTGCCCCTCCTTTCTGATACCATGCCTTCTGCTATAATTTTTTCCAATCCGTCGTGGCGCTTGATATGACCAAAATATTTCAGCTTTCGAGAAAGGATGCTGTTTATTAGCCAATCTTCCTTGATGTTCAGATCTTTTAAGATGTCAATATTTCTCATCTTCTTTGTCCAATATACTCTGAGAATCTTTCTATAGCATTTCAGCTCAAAAGCCCCTATTCTCTTTCTTAAGGACTGAGAGATAGTCCACGACTCACATCTGTATGTAGCCACAGGGAAGATGCATGCTCTCAAAATTCTAATTTTTATCTCCTTGCTACTGCTTAACCATAGACTTTTAAGGCTGTTCAATCTTTGCATTGCTATGGCCATCTAAATCAGTAATCAGTAACTTGAAAAATACAGTGAATGAGTAACAATAGCACACACAAAAACAAATTACAAAAACATGACGAGAATTTCATAATTTACATAAAAATGAATGCAAACTTAATTTTTCTGGACATAGGAGGGTTGGAAAGCTAGATAGAAAAACATATTTAAAGGTGTATTTACCTCGTAGAAGGGTAACCAAAATCACGTGACGCGCTTTATGTATTTGACTAAGCATACGGAGAAAACAAATTAGTTGTTGATTCTGCTTATTTATATTCTGTTTATAATCACTGATTGTTATTTAACATGTGCAAAAGTCGGGTAGTTTTGAAACTCTTTTCTAGACAAATCTCATACATTATTTCCCTTGCATTCATCTTCTTCTTCTCCTGCTCTGAACATTAAGACTTGTGTAGTGGTACCCTTTTTATAAGCTTTAGGTTTGCTTTTTGTAAGCTTAAAGTTTGCTTTTGTTTTTGTTTGATTGTCTGGTACAGTTTTTGCAAAAAAAATTTTTGGAAACGGGTTAATTTCATGCTGTTTTTGTATTCTCATACATCAAGAGCCCAGAATACATCATGAATAATAACAACAATCATCGCTACGCCTCGAGGTCAGCTTCCCGGCGCCGTTCACGCAGCAGTGGAAGAGATCACATCAACACTTTTGAAATCGTAAAACTGATCAATTCTACTGAAGCAGGCAGGCTAGATTTGGGAACTTTGAGAAATTTTTTGTTCAGAGATGTTGACCCCAGGAGCAATGCTAAATTTCAGGTCATATGGAGGCATTTGTTACAGAACAAAGAGAATTTTATTTTGAGTGATCAGTTGAAGGATGCGAAAGCGCTCAGTGGGAATGAAACTGTTTGGGTTCGTACTGTGCTCACCTTATGTGAAACACACTGCAGACGAGGCAAGGATGGTCGCAATAGAGCCTGTGATGGTGACTGTGGGGCCCTTCATGTCTGCCGCACTTTTCTTTTATGCTCAAAAGATGCATGTCCTTTTAATAGCAAAAAGAAATGCATGTTTGGGCACAGCTTCGCCACCGATCATAATACAGAGCTTCTGAAAGCTCACAACCTGTATGGTCTAAGTGATGCAGAGCTACAAAAACTCTTTCGCCGACGCCCATCACGATCGGCAAACACGCTGCCACAAGTGTGCATATATTATAATAAAGCTGATGGAAAGAAATGTTCAAAAGAAAAATGCAAGTCGCTACATCTGTGCTCAGATTTTATTCAGCAATGTTGCGAAGGCGATTGTTCACGAAATCACCGGTTTTCAGCACCACAGGTTCAGCGTGTGCTTGATCTCTATGCCTTTGACGCTTCATGGAGCGGTGAAATGTTGCTGGAAGATCTTCGGCATTTTATGACCGCCAGTGAGTATTCTCAACACTTTGATTTTGGTCACTTCATTTTTACATAATAACATTATTCCTTTGACCTCAAGAAGTTGATATTGCGTATTTTCCATCCATTTCATTCTCCATATGGCATATATTGTGCCTTTACAGCTTTCGCCAGACCTCATTAAGCCTGCTTAGTGACTTAAGTACTCTCCCCACTGCTAAAACACCCAAGCATCACTATGGCACTAAAACGACAACTGATAAATTGCATGTTTATACCAACCCTCTGCTACCAATGCCAAACCTGGTCCCTAACAAGAGCACAGGAGAAAAAGATCACGACGTGCGAAATGAGATGCTTACGTAAGGCTGCCAATGTCACAAGGAGAGACAGAGTTCGAAACGAGAACATTAGATCAATTGTAGGAACCACACCATGCCTGCAATACATAAAGAAGCAACAAATAGAGTGGTTTGGCCACTTGATGCGAATGCAGACCGACCAACTGCCTCTACGAGCATACAACGAACAGCACTACTGCCCTAGAGCAAGAGGCAGACCGAGAGTACGATGGATAGACAATATATCAGAGATCCTGAGGCAACACGGACTAACAACAACACGTGCAACACACCTGGCCCAGGATAGAAAACTGTGACTCCCCACTACGCTGTGAGGCAATTGTGGACAAGACGAGAGAGAGAGAGAGAGAGAGTGACTTAAGTTTTTTTTTTAAATGCCTGGGCAGTATGCATTTTTTTTTTTGTTGAAAAAGGGGGGAGGGGGGTGGTTATGATTATATGTTATAAAAATAGCACTTATGTTACCATTACAACAACAAAAATTGCCTTTTTAGTCAATGAATGTCATAATTCACATAACAAGAAAGCACAGTCTGAGTCATCATATATATTTTAGTAGACTATGAAATGTATTCATGTTTTTCTCAGCTCAGTTTTCTTGATTCCTCCCCTTCATTTGCTTTAAGTTAATTGAACAAAGTTAATTTTTATTTTTTTAATTTTTTATTTTAGTGACTTGTGTAAAATATTTTTTTAAAGTGTTTTTTCCTTAAAAATTATCAGATTCTGGGCTTGTCCACAACAGTTTCTGAGGTGAAAGGGTTAATAGTCACACTTATATTGCTAAGGATGTTATGCTTTCCTGATCCATCGTCTAGAATAGTGATCAACCTTTGGCCCCAAGAAGCTGCTGATATTGTGACCTTGTCATCCGTTACAAATCCCCATATGGCAGATATTGTGGCTTTACTGCTTTGGCCAGTAAAACTGTTCCTCACCACAACGTTTAACGGCAGAAGTGGAAATTGATGATGATGATGATAATGATGATGATGATGATGATGATGATGATGTCTTTGGCCAGTCCCTGTCAAGTTTACTTAATGCCATTAGTTCTTTTTGCACCTGTACAGGCATAAATGTTTCCAAATGATTGGATTCACTAAAGATAGTACTAGGGGTGTGGCGGTGGTACTGTTGTGAAAACAATGGCTTTAACAAAGCTAACAAAAATAGGACTCATGATAAACCCTGTGAGTAAAACCCAAGTGTATTGCTTTCAAGAAGACAATATATTATGCTGTAAATCGGCATATCTAGCCAGATTTCTTTGGAAATCTTGAACCAAATGTAACATATGTAATTACACACTATACATTGTTTGATACAGTTATTTTGGCTGATTACACACTGTACATTAGTTGGGATGGAGGGGGAGTTATTCAGTGTCTGGCTTTTTAATTTAACAACCAGATCTGTCTTTGATATCGTATTTTTGTTAGTTAAATCAATTGTTTGATTTGTTCTGTCAATAGGGCATCGTCATGAAACTGGCAGTACCTGCAGTGGAGAAGATTCTGATGCTTCAGAAAGAAATGGACCCGTGGGTCATGTCCCTGAAGGTGCAGCTCGACTGGCTTCACTTGTCAAAGTGGACTCCTCTGCTCCTTTCAGTAAGACTCTGTACAGATTCTCTATATCAGAGGTTCTCAAACTGGGTGCCTAGGCACCCTTTGGTGCCGCGAGTATGCCAGGGGTGCCACGGCGAAAAAAAGTATAAGAACTGCTGCTCTGTATGATTAGTTGTCTTAGTCTTAGTCCTAGTTGAGGTTTCAACTTCACTGCAGTCGGGTTCACCACAATACTAGCTCCGTTCCTGTGCCAGTGCAAATCAAATGAAATGTCGCTTACTGCCCCATTTAAAAAACTGGTGAACAAACAGTTGGTCCTGGCACAATCCAGAAATATGCGGAGATGGCAGTTGCTAGAAGCACCAAAGCCAATAATCGTGACTAGAAATGTAGTATGTCATTGATGGAAGAAGTCAAGCTAGATGAGTGAGTAAAGTGATAGTGAGTTGTGTAATAGAGTACAGTGATGACAGGTATAGTTCAAGGAGGACAAGGTAGGGGTTAACTCTTTGAATCCCAGAGGGTTTAGCATCACAGGCCTAAGGGGTAGTCAAAAGAGACTAAAATCGGTGCATCATGCGTTCATTGGGCTTCTAGGCAGTAACCTATGAATGTATGATGCGTTCCTTGGGATAAGAGGTTGACCACCATGATAATGGAAATAGGAGATTTTGGCATAATGTCTGTATCATGTCGCTGAAGGTGCAGCTCGACTGGCTTCACTTGTCAAAGTGGACTTTTCTGCTCCATTCAGTAAGACTTATTACACATTCTCTTTTTCTCTTCTTCAACTTCTTCTCCTTCTCATTCACTTGCTATAAACTCCAGCGGAAAGTTGTTTGTCCATCTCCGGACTAGTCTTGTTACAGAATATCAGTGTAATGTGTACATCCATTTTACAGATCTGGCTTAATTGAATGCAGACTGTTGGTTGCTTGCCTCTCAGGCAGATGCACTCCAACTTCGAATTATGCCCCCAGTTATTACTCCTACAACATGCTTGTTGGGGAGGCAGTGCGTCCATTCTTGTTTTTCCCACAGTTGGACCCTGGAACCCACACGGGGGAAATTCCCTATATCAGTGATTCCCAATCTGTGCCGGGGAGCCACAACCTCTTCACAGGAGCGCCGCGAAATATTGAAAATTTTTAAAACAAAATCTCTTACTTACCAATAGTCATACTTTTACTTAGGTTAGGGCACCATGGAAAAATTTTAATTGAAAAAAGGCGCCACGACTAAGAAAAGTTTGGAAATCACTGCCCTATGTGATTAGTTAGTTGTGAAATGGGGTTAGGGTTATTTTTAGAGGTATGACAACTGATAGATGAAAATGCTTCTTCCATCAACGACATACTACATTTCTAGTCGCGATTATTGGCTTTGGTGCTTCTAGCAACTGCCATCTCCACATTGCACATATTTCTGGATTGTGCCAGGACTAGGGGCAGTATCGACCACTGGTTCAGTTCATCGGGGATGAAACATCTGACTGGGGGCTTTCAGCTGGCATGAAGGGAAAGATGTGACAAAACAAAATGGAGCTTTTTTATCCAGAACTTCACGCAAGAGGATGGAGTTGGAGGCAATCACTGCAGCCCTGAAGTAGATAGCAGAAAATAAGAGTTACCAGAGAAATTATAGTTCTGATTCTCAGTCGGTATTGCAGAAGGTTAAAAGAAAACAGGACATATGTAGCATGAGTGGATAACAGGCTTCAGCGTGTCAACATATCAGGGACTGACATGAGTGTAATGTCCGAATGATGCAGGAGTGCAAGAGAAATGAATTCTTATTCTTGGTCTGCCTCATGCTCTACATCTTTCTCCTCTTTTAGTGTATGTCTTGTATGGTTATGGCATTCTCTCTCGGTGTTGGCAGATCATCGGTTTGCTGTCTTTGTATGTAATTTAGAATAGGTTTTTTTGTGTCAACTTGTTCTCTTATGACTTCATTTCTGACCTTATCTATTCTGGTCACTCCTGCAACCTTTCTCATACACCTAATTTCCGTGATTACTTATGTTCTTTTATGGTTTATTGTGAGTGACCCTGTCTGGCACTGGTAGCATAGGGTTGGAATAGCAAGTGAAGAGCAGAAGGAAAGAAGATCATTACATGTGGGAGCATAGTTTTATTGGTTGACAATCAGCTGAGGAAAGGAACTGCACACAGGTGAGAGGAGAAGGATAGGAAGGTAAGATAGGCAGGGTGCTAGGCAGCAGCAGGGCTAAAGGGAGATTTTTGCATCTGAAGATGAGATTGTTGCATCTGAAGATGAGATTGTTGCATCTGAAGATGAGATTGTTGCATCTGAAGATGAGATTGTTGCATCTGAAGATGAGATTGTTGCATCTGAAGATGAGATTGTTGCATCTGAAGATGAGATTGTTGCATCTGAAGATGAGATTGTTGCATCTGAAGATGAGATTATTTATTGCATCTGAAAATGAGATTGTTGCATCCGAAGATAAGATTGTAGTATCTGAAAATGAGATTGTTGCATCCGAAGATAAGATTGTTGCATCTGAAGATCAGATGTACGTTTTGTATGAATTTGGTGCAGGCTTGTAAACCTTAAGCTGGTAGTGAGGGAGGGAGACAAACCATTCGAATGATAGAAAGTAATCATCGTCATCAATCAGCGGGTTTTTTGCAGAACGTCCCTCTCACCTGAAAGTTTCTCTTTCTCCACACAAGTGTGGTTTCAAAGCCATTGCGTCCTCAGTGTCTTGTATCCAGAGTTATACCTGTCCAACATTTTCCTGAATAAACCTGTCCAACATTTTCCTGAATATACCTGTCCAACATTTTCCTGAATATACCTGTCCAACATTTTCCTGAATAAACCTGTCCAACATTTTCCTGAATAAACCTGTCCAACATTTTCCTGAATATACCTGTCCAACATTTTTCTGAATAAACCTGTCCAACATTTTCCTGAAGCTGTACCCTCCATTACTGCTGTCTTCAGGCCAACAAGACATTTAACATTTCCAAAATACCCCAACTTTCAAAACAGGAGCTGGTTCTCCTCGGTGCACCGATCATTTTGTATGTTGTTGTTTTTGTTTTTCTTCTTCGATAGCAGTAGTTG